CTCTTTCTTTTGTCTTTCACGAAGTCGAGCAGCTCTCACTTCTACGCTTTTCTCTGTGATCGTCAGGCCTATCTTCTCGGCGATCTCATTCTGGATAATCACCCTGTTTGGTGTTTGAGTTATAGCAACCAAGACCACTTCATCAAACAGTTGTTTCTCCTTGGCTTGCCTAGCAGCCTCTTTGACAAGTGTGGTTTTGCCTACGCCTCCCATCCCTTGCACCCCAATTATGCTGGCATTACAATCTTCAAATGTCGCCATGACCCCATTGAAAGCACCGGTTCTTGATCCAAACGCCTCGTACTCTTTGACAGGTCTAATAATGCCTATCCTTTCAATAGCAGGACGGTAGGAAATACGATCAAACCGATTATTTTCATTCAAGAGTTGAGTTATGGTGTCGGCCTCCTTTTTGACTTTCTTGCTGAGCAAGTAACGAGACTTGAAATCAGGACAGAATTCGGCGAAACGCCTATCCGTTGCTTTCTCTTCATCCTCCTGCAATCATGTTGCAGCCTGCTCGGAGATCTTCTCATCGACCACCATCAACCACCTTTCTATGTGATCGAAAATCACCTCCCCGTTCCGGTTAGCCTCGTCGACAGAATGTTACACCCTTTCTCTAGCATCCTTCAGGCTTTGGACTTTAGTCCGGAGGTTCAGAAACTTGCTCTTGTACTTGAATAAGTAACCGAGTTTTTGTGCGGTGGGATCGACGGTGTACTCAGCAACTTTGGCAGCAAGAGATCAAACAATGGAAACAACAGCCTCCATTTTGATTTCCAAGACAAATGATTGATGAGCTTTTGAGATTGCGAAGGAGCAGAGAGTCAAAACGAAAGGTTGTGAGATCTGGAAGAAGCCTAGAAACATAAGCAACCAAGCTGGAAAATAATGATAGATAGGTGTAAAGTTGAGTGTTTCAACTAGGTTATTTTCAGGGTAAATTATGCGTTTAGTACTCAAACTATCAATATTAGTCCATTTTAATATCTAATCTTTTAATTTTTTCAAAACCATACCTAAAATTTAGTTTTTGTTTCATTTTAGTATCTCATTTAAAATTTAACGTTAAAATTTGAAAAAACTAGAAGTTTAAGTACTAAAACGGACCAAAACTGATAGTTTAGGTACTAAAAATGTTAAGTTTTTAATGGCGGGATACTAAAACGAGACAAAAACTAAATGTTATAAAAAAAAATTAGCTGACCCATATTCCCATATATAATGGGGTAGGGGAGGTAAGATAGTAGGTTGCCCTAACACCAAGTTGAGAGCAGCTTCTGTAGGAGACCTCTGAATTATGAAATGCCCTCCATAGGACTCGATGTAACACCCCCAACCCGTATCCGACCCGGATACGAGTCCGAAGTGTCACATTGACTTTTCAAACATTTATTCGTATAAAATAGTGAGTAATTTAAAAACTTTTATAACATTTAACTTATTCAAAACATTTACAAAACTATTCAGAGCTTATACAGTATATTCTTTTGATTACATGCCAACTAGAACTTTATATACAAAAATACATATTATTCACCTCTCCTCTGATCTGACATTCGGTAAGGAGAACTGACATGTCTTGTTCCTCTTTACTTCTCTTTTCGCTTTCCAAACCTACGTGTGAAATAATCACACGCTAAGTCGATGACTTAGTGAGGCATATAAAACATATAATATTTCATATAACATAAAGCATACATAAACATATACCATCATTATCATAATCTCTATCATTATCATTAAGAAACACACATAACATCATATGGTTCATGTAACACATTTCAAACCACTTACCTTTGATAACCATTTATAAACCCATCGTATACATATCACATTCAGTATGTTTGTTTAATCTCTTTATTAGCCCATGTACACTAGTGAGAACTTAAGGTATGTGAGTACATTGAGGTTGTGCACACATATGCTGTCACCACAGCTCGATCAATGTCCCAAAGGACCTATCCAGAGGTCACAAAGACCCCGGTAACTATCCAGAGGTCATAAAGATCCTCGGTAACTGTCCAGAGGTCATAAAGATCCTCGGTAACTGTCCAGAGGTCATAAAGATCCTCGGTAACTATCCATAGGTCCCGAAGAACCTAGGTAAACTGTCTATATGTCTCGAAAGACATAGGTAAACCCTCGACTCTTGGCATGCCAACTATACCCCTAGCTCTCATATCACATAACATGGTCATTATCATTTATAACATTTCATATCACTTGTTATTTCTCTTCTATCACATACCACATGTATGTGTAACCATGTATTTCATATCATATATCTTATAATAGATTCTTATATCATCATTTGTTTCCTTCCTACCTATTCACAATCACACTAACATGTAATGCAAGCAAGATGTATTAATACATACATGTAATCACATAACTTATATCATATCATTTCTCTTATAAACACATATCTCTTCTTTTCTGTCACGTATCACATATACGTGTAATCATTGATCTTATAATTTCATATTCCTTATCTTCTGTCACATACCCTATGTATGTGTAAACATATATCTCATAAACACATATTTATGAATCTCATATCGTATCACATATTCACATAAACATGTAATCCACTTTCACATATCACTTAACATATTTTCTAATATGATCACATAACTCATATTATCTATCTCATATCATATTCTCATGTATTTACTTAATTCAGTTTCACATAGCTTGTCACATAGGCATGTATTCTCATATATTATAATTTCATATAGTTCAATATCACATATCACATATACATGTAATCATGTACTCATACACACATAAGCATCATATCATTCACAAATCAAATAACATTTTAGGAGTCACTTCTTACCATAATAACTCCAATACTGGCTCATCGCAAGCCAATGTTCGTTCAATAACATAAGTACAATTAAAATTGCACTCACCTTAGCTTTACTTTGATTCGATTTTAATCCTTCAATTGTTTCTGAATGGGATCACGTTCTATATCTACATAATCATTAGTAGATCTATATCAGTATTATAACTAATATACTCTAATGGTTCACTCCTTAGACTAAGAAAAATGCCAATTTCATCTTTCAATGAAAGTATGCATTGATGCACTACTGATGCATCGGTGCATAAAATGCATTCGATGTTGTATTATCACTGGGATGCATCGATGCATGCCTTATGCATCGATGCACTAATTGCATTCGATGTTTCTATTTTAAAAGAGTGCATCGATGCACTACCTGTGCATCGATACACCTTCAAACAAATTTTTGGGTTTTAACCTTGATGCATCGGTGCACTATGAATGTGCATCGGTGCACTATGAATGTGCATCGATGCACTATGCCCATAACCTCTTTTTGAACCCGAAAATTCATTCTTTTTGGATTAAATCCTTCATATTTCAACCCCTTTCATATTCCTAACTTTCATATACATACTCAAACTCATTAATATTCATTTATCTCATCTTTAACCTCTAAATTTCATCTTTCATATGGAAATTCAAGAATCATACTCAATTTCTAACATGTTCCAAATTCCATTCAATTGCTTCTAACTTCTTAATTAGACCCTTGACAAGTCAAATCCAACTTTAGAACTTCAAAAACCTTTCTATAACAAAAGTTCATTTATAAACCCTTAATAGAAATTTCTTTATAATTCTCTCTCTTTGGTGTTTTAAACTTATATAAGCTTTCCTTAAGCTTATATAACCCTCAAAGACTCAATCCAACTTAAAACTTTCAAGAAATCAAAAGCTAAATCAAACTTACCTTTGCTCTTGGCTTCCACGTAAAGAAGAAGAAGAAAGGAGAAGAGCACTCTGGAGAATTCTCTCCCTTTCAACGTGTATTTATCCTTACCAATCCCATTTTAATTCATTTCTTGGTCAATTGACCTTTTTGCCCTTTATTTCCTTTAATAATTACTAAATAACATTCATCATATATATCCAATAATCATTGAACTATTTCATTCTTCTACTTTAGTCATCGAATTCTGAAACTTTACAATTTGGTCACTAACCCATAATTTGGGATGTTACACTAGATCCCACGACCCCAAGATTAAGAACTTTGTGCTCTACCAACTGAGTTGGATGGTCATCAAATTAGCTGACCCTTATTCCCATATGTAATGGGGTACTAAAACGAGACAAAAACTAAATGTTATATATGATTTAAAAAAACAGAAGTTTAGGAACTAAAATGAATAAAAACTTATAGTTTAAATACTAAATGCGTAATTTACCTTATTTTTAAATTAAATATTGCTAGTGCATCGATGGATATTGAATATTTTTATTTATTTCTTAATAAAGTATTTTTAATACATGCCTATCGTGTCTACAACAAACGTTGAACGCTAGTTAATTAACAATTATATTATCATTTTGACCAAAATTAAAGCATACATGATTAAAGCGTTTGAAGAAAAGATAGAGATCAAATTGACTATTGTATCAAACTGTAAGGGCAAATTTTGATATTACACCTAAATTATTTAATTATTTCTCGATAAAAGTATTTTTAATGTAAATTGATCATGCTAACTACAAATGTTAATCATTAGTTAATTAATAATTTTTATTAAACAAATTATTTTGACTAAAACTGAAACATAGTGGATTGAAATGTTTGAAGAAAATAGAGACCAAATTAACGAATTTTGATACCGTAATAATTTAAGCTATTAGAGTTCATTTAATTGGTCCCTCAACTAAATACAACTCCGTGAACTATAATTACATGATTAATGTTAGTATTTATTTTATAACAAAATTAAAATTTTAATAAATATTTTTATCTCATCAACAATCAAAATAATTCTTTAAACTCAAGGTCAATAAAGTAAATGTCACGTCAACATATTTAACATTAAAACGAGTTAAGTAAATCCATTATTTTGATATGATACAAGGATTATTATCACAATTTAACCATTTTTTCAAGTAGTAATTTGACAAATTTTTAGTTTAAAATAGCTTACGGTGCAAGCCTAGATGGATCTAACACGTGGGCACCTTTTGGGGCTGAAAAAATGATTCGTCTTCTCCGTTCTCCGATGCCCATATCTGCTTTCGTCTTCCCAAAACGACGTGTCGTTTTGTTCTCTCTCGCTCAACTTCTTCACCGTCGCACAACTACGAGAGCCTTCTGCTCCAGAATGTCGTCCACGTCATCAACTTCACTGACTCACTCCATTTCGTTGCCGAGTCAACAGGGTCAGCCCGTCCAAATCGTCGCTGCCCCTGGCCTGTCCGGTTCCGAGTTCAGGTTATTAGCTTTTTTTTCTTTTCCCTTTTATTTCTCGTTTCTGGAATTTGGGAAGTACCCATTGTTTTAATAAACCATGAGACTGAATCTGCAGGGTTGCTATCGAGTCATCTTTGTTTAGACAATGGTTAAAGAATCTGGAGAGTGAAAATGGGATTTTGGCTAATGAGGACATGGCTTTAACTCAAGTGCTTATCCAGGTATCTTTCCTTAAAAATTTTGCATTAATCATCGAATCTGTTGGGGGGAAAAACTTTGGGTGAATTTTGTTTTACTTGTTTTTATCCTTGTACTGAAAATATTGGAAGAAGTGTTGCTTAAAGGTATGATGGATTTTTTTAGTGAGTTTTATGCAAAAATTGAACTTGTTAAGCATTTGAACTCTGGTAAAAGGAGTTGTTTTATTTGACAACAGGGAGTTGATATGTTTGGAAAACGAATCGGCTTCCTCAAATTCAAAGCCGATATTATCGTTAAAGGAACGGGAAAGAAGGTATTTGATCATCTTCTTGAATAGCTTTCTAAACAATTTCATTTTGGATTATGGTTCTTTGTGAAACTTGCTTGGTTTGAACTTGATTTTTAGTTCCAGTTGGAGTATGTATTGCAATTATTCGTGCAATTGTTCGGCATCTTTTCTTATGAACTAAAACATTCTTAGGTTCCAGGTATAGTGTTTGCACGAGGACCTGCTGTAGCCGTGTTAATTCTTTTAGAGTCTGAGGGCGCTACATATGCTGTTCTCACCGAACAGGTAGGGTGATAGTTTTAGTTTTTTTTTTTAAAAAAAGAAATTATTCTTAGCTGTTTGTCTATCAAGTGTGATAATACAATTGAACAGAGGAGGGATCGACTTTAGAAGGTGGCCATTTACATATCAATACTTCGTTCAAAGCTAAATTCTTTGTTTTTTTTTCTTTCTCTAAGGCTAGGGTCCCCACGGGGAGAGTTGTTCTTGAATTGCCTGCTGGAATGTTGGATGGTGACAAGGGTGATTTTGTTGGCACTGCAGTTCGTGAGGTCCTCTCTCTCTCTCTCTCTCTCTCTCTCTCTCTCTCTCTCGATTGTTCATTGCCAGAGATTAACACATATTATACAAATGTTTACACACATATATTCGAAACTGTCTTTATTTTTTGTAGGAATTTGTATGTAAGTCATATTACCACACATAAAGTTCGTAATTTGCTTTAGGCGATGAAATCTGCCATTTTTGAGGTCAAGTACTCTAGGGTTATATTGTAGTGCACCCAAACATCTGAGTCTCATCTACGAGATCATTTTCCCCTTTGTGGGTTGTTCTTATAGATTATATTCCAGCCTACATTAAATTTACAGTTATGTCAATATTCTATAACTGCCAATAGGTTGAGAGAACTTGCTATATTTGACATAATATTTTGTTAAAAAATCCTTACGACCAGCTTCTTTTAAGCTTCCGTTTCCCCCCTTTATGTTATATAAATGGCTTCTTAATGAGTTGAAACTTACAGGTTGAGGAGGAGATTGGTATTCACCTGAAACTAGAAGACATGGTCGACCTCACTGCCTTCCTTGATCCGTCTACTGAATTCAAAATTTTTCCTTCTCCGGTATGCTGGCAATACGGATGAGTGTTCTTTTTTCAGAAAATCATTTCATGTTACAAACCCTACAATCATCACTTTGAAATAGAATTATTAACTGTATGTAGCGTTGATTTTCTAATTATGAATCTATGATGTGCACTGCTTGATTGTATTCTTTGCATAGCAGTTCTTATAGTCCCTTGTAGAGAATTTTATGCCCTTTTCCTGGCCATTTTGCCGTGTCGTGACTTGATTCAGCTTAGGTTTTAGATGATCATTTCTTGTGTTTTCCATGTTAGGGAGGCTGTGATGAAGAACTGGGCCTATTTCTGTACAAAGGGCATGTTGATAAAAACATTATTACACAGCTTGAAGGAAAACAAACAGGTTGTTCCGAACACGGTGAGATGATCAAGGTTCGTGTAGTTCTGTACGAGAAACTCTGGCGCACGACACCTGATGCAAAGGCACTCATGGCCATCGCTATCTATGAAATGGCCAAGAAAGAAGGATTATTACCACAGTAATCCTAACCAGCCAAACCCGGTAGTTACCATCTCACAAATCAAGTTAGTCTAAATTTAACATGTTATATAAATATGTAGAACTGCTATAATATTATGAATGAACTAGAGTTTGTACTTTTTCTCTTATTCAACTATTTCTTTTGATTTCATCCCTCGGGACATGTATATATAATTTACATGTGGACCGACTCGGAAGAGATAAAAAGAATATTTATTGGAAGGGAAGGGATGTGATACCAGATGGTTTTAAGGCAAACATGAGACCCACAAATATGATTAAAGTGGGGAACATGTTAAAGTCCTAAAGGACAACAAAATTGAGTACTCTGCCCTAAATGATACAAAGGGGCATCATCAAGCTTTTAGGCAAATTCAAAGGTTTGCTTGCTTTAAACTCCAAAATCCCACTTGACGAATCATATAATATAAAACCCAATATCCCCACATTGTGCATTTGAAGCCATCGGAGAAAACTGCAGATGAAAATGCTTTCTGTTCCCACATAAACCTTAGCCCTTTCTAATGGGCTCTGATCTCATCTTTATCATATTGATAATACTTTCATGGCCTTCATTTCTTTCGACCAAAGCTGAAGGGATCGCATCGGCTCACCTCCTCGATCTTCTCATTAGGGACTACACGGTTAAGTCTTTTAACCGGCATTGGAAAACAGGTACTCTATATACTGTTCATTTACCCTCAAACTTATCTGGGATCGAAGTCGATACCGTGAGGTTTCGATGTGGGAGTCTCCGGCGATATGGAACAAAAGTTAAGGAATTTCATTTGGGAATTGGTGTGATTGTTCATCCTTGTGCTGAGAGAGTCATATTGGTGAGACAAAACTTGGGTCTCAATTGGTCATCTATATATTATGCAAACTATGATCTATCTGGTTATCAGCTTGTGTCGCCTGTGTTGGGGCTTTTAGCTTATAATGCAAGCAGTGATGTGAGTCTCGGTAGCCCTTTTCAGCTCGGAGTTCTTGCAAGGGAAATTCCGATTAAAATTGATTTTGGAGACCATAAAATGGCTTCCGACATGACTGGATCGTCAACGAGGCCATTGTGTGCTAGTTTTGAAGGAGATGGAAAAGTTACATTGAAAAACCAAGCGTCACCCAATGTTTGTATTGTGACAAGGGACGGACATTTCGGTTTGGTTGTCGAGACACCGCCGTTGATGCCGGTGAGGAAAAAGATTAGTAGATGGAAACTGGCGGTCGGAAGCTCGATCGGAGCTGCTTTGGGAGCTTTCCTCCTGGGGTTGCTTTTGGTGGCGATGGTTATTAAGGTGAAGAAGAAAGCAAGAATGGAGGAACTCGAGAGGAGAGCTTATGAAGAGGAAGTCCTTCAGGTTTCCATGGTTGGACATTTCAGAGGTCCGACAGCTCCTGCTACTCGAACGACGCCAACGATCGAATATTAGTACATAAATTACAATTCTTGAAATCTTAGTTATGTGATACTTTTATTCAATGTATGATCATTCTTTTCTGGACTTGTGATTCTAACAAAATGTTCATAGGTTCAATGTCTTGAACATGAAAACTGAAAATTATATAATATTATTGTAGTTGTTGGAGAAGTTGTTGGTTTCAACCTTTGTGGGTCAGACACAATCATCAGCCCAAGAGCCTTTAAATGTAAGCTTTGTGTAGGGCTCAAAATTGTTCTTGGTCGACCCGACAACATTGGATTAGATCAGATTTTATATAATATGAAACCAAAGTTAGATTTAGGGTAAGATTTTTTTGATCCGACATAAAATAATAGTATAATTTTTTAAATATATTTAAGAATAATTATTATAATATTTCTTATATAATTTTTTCATTCAAGTCTATTTTGCTAAATAAAAAATATATTTGTGTTAAATTAAATCAGAAATTAACTTTTCATCTCAAAATTAAAGTTAAATTTTAGATTAAATGAGATTTTTTTAAATTTGAATTAAATCAAATTCCAGCGGAGAAAATATTTTTTTTGAGTCGAATTAAATTAACTCGACCCATTTTCATGGTTACCTCTTGTTATGGTAGATGGGCCATGGACATTTTCTATATACATATTGTTGGGTTACATTTGATTAGATTCTCATTTATTTATTTAAAAAATTATTTTTTACGTCAAATAATTAGTTTAATATTTTGTGATAAATTTTAAATGTACATTTGCACGTAGAATTTTTATAAATTATTGATAAATAAAATAAGTAAAATGTTTTTCCAATTATTACTAACATTTTATCAATATTTATTTATCATAATCTAATACGAACCAATTTACCTCAGTGGTTAAAAGAAATCGTTATCGTTATTAGAAGTCACGAATTTGAGTACCAGCGACTACAACAGGGTGATTGAGTGTTCATTATCAGATGGTTGAGAGTATTTACATGGATGATCACTTATGTTTGCGTTTTGTCCTCTTTTAGTCACTAATTTTAAAAAACATAAGATATAGTCATTTTATTTTTTATTTAATTAAGATGTGGTCACCCCGAGTTAACTACCGTTAACAAAATTTAAATATTTTAATATAATCACACATTTGATCCCTATTATTTACACATTCTCTTAATTTAGTAGTACTTTTAATAAATTAAAATAAATTTAATCCTCAAATCGAATATTATCACATGTTACCATTCGATTAGAGGACTACATTTACTTTAATTTAATATGTTTATTTCCACCAATGAAAGGGTAACATGAGTCACCCTCTTGTGAAAGAAAACAAAGGAAAGTAAATTGGGGCAAAAAAAGACTCAAACCTTGCTCACTTAAGAAACTAAACATGTATCCAACCATTAACCCAAGAACATTGCTTGGTCTAAAGTAGACAACATGGTATATATATTTTGTATTTTTGTTTATAAATACTTAAATTCATAATATTATATATATATTAACTTAAAAAATACTTTTATATTAACTTATTAAATATATTTTAATATTAACTTAATTTTAAAATATTTTTTTTATTTTCATTTAAAAATATGTATTTTATGTTAGAATTTATTTAAAAGTATGATTAAATTGAGTGAATATGTAAATAAAAGTGACCAAATATATGATTATACCAACTATCACATCACATATTCTGTTATTGTTAATAGCATTTAACCCGTAATGCCTACATCTTAATTAAATAAAAACGAAAGTGATCTTATGTTAATTAAATAAAAATGAAAGTGGTCGTAATTTATGTTTTTTGAAATTAGTGACAAAAAATGGATAAAATGAAAACATAAGTGATCATTGGGACAAAAAAATTATCATAATCCTAACCTTCGTCCTATATGTTCGTCCGCACCAAATCGCTACTTTTCGCGCAAAAACTTATAACGGTGTTAACGTTTCCCGTCAAGCTTCCTCCCGTAGGCTCATCCATACCGAATCCCTAATTTTCGCGCAAAAAAATTACAACGGTGATAACGTTTTCCGTCATTGAAGATGGAACCTAAAAACCAAAACCAATAAACTCAACTTCGTCTTCAACCTCTCAATTATTAGGGTTTCCTGATTATCAACCCCAAAAATTAATAGTTATTATATATGGACGATCCTACGATAAGCAAGCAATCTGCTCCATCAACTCCAAGTATCAATGTCCCGTCGATAATGTCCGATTCTTCCCTCCACCTCGAGAACCTTCCGTCTCGGACAATGCACATCAACCGTTTGCTCAATTCCAGCTACAACCGCTCTCCTTCGCGCACAATATACTCCGATAGGTTCATACCCAGCAGATCCGGCTCCAATTTCGCACTGTTTGACATCTCCAATTCTCCCACTTCAGCCGAAGGAAAAGAAGACGGGTCCGGCACTTATAACAGCCTTTTACGTGCCGCGCTTTTTGGCCCTCATACGCCCGATAAGAAGGACTCGTCGGAGGTACCAGCTAGCCGGAATATTTTCCGGTATAAAACCGAAACTAAACGGACATTACACTCGCTTTCACCTGCCGGGTTTGATGACTCAGTCCCTGGGATTAGCTATAGCCCAGTTAAAGCTCCGAGAAAGGTTCCCAAGTCACCTTACAAGGTAAGGAGTTTAGGAAATTTGAATACTTCTTTTGTTTTGTTTTGTTTCGGGGTTAATGTTTGTTCTGCTTTTGTAGGTTTTGGATGCACCAGCATTGCAAGATGATTTTTACTTGAATTTGGTGGATTGGTCTTCGAACAATGTATTGGCGGTTGGGTTGGGGAATTGTGTTTATTTGTGGAATGCTTGTAGTAGTAAGGTCACAAAGTTGTGTGATTTAGGCGTTGATGATAGTGTTTGTTCAGTTTGTTGGGCTCAACGTGGAACTCATCTTGCAGTTGGGACTAGCGACGGGAATGTTGAGGTTCGATTTTGTTTTTATTATTATTGAATAAGTCTTTATGTTGCTCATTATGTTACTCGGTCTTGGAGCTGGTGTGAGGTATTTTCAAATTTTCCAAAATTTTCATGGAGGATGATATCCAGATAAGCATCTGCGTTGACGTCGACACGCTACTTGCAGTAAAATTAAGAGAGAGCAACACTGTCTAAGCGTGCATGCTTTCTTTCTGATTCCGGCTGTGTTAGTTTTAGCTTTGGGTTGCTACAATTAGATATTGTAATTATGTGTTTGTTATTGCGTGGGCCCAAATAATTATAATTTAGAATCAAGGAAGTAGTCCTTAGCTAATGATGTAATGTTTTCGAAGTTGTATTATATACGACGAAGGCCGAAAGTGAGCAAAGTTTTGGACATTTTCTTCTAGTGTACTCATCTTTGCTCCTCTATTGCCCTTGCATTCAGGCTTCTTTATTGTATGTATATATTCAACTTCCTTTGTTTTGCTTGTAGGATAATGTAGTTAGCTTATAAATATCACTTTGTATGTAGATTTGGGATACATCTCGCTGCCGGAGAGTCAGAACAATGGAGGGGCATCGGTTACGCGTTGGGACCTTAGCGTGGAGCTCTTCTCTGTTATCTTCTGGGAGTCGTGACAAGAGCATTCTTCAAAGAGATATCCGCGCTCCGGATGATTTTGCTAGTAAACTCTCTGGTCATAAATCAGAGGTTAGACTCTTGTTTTGTCATGAATCCATTTATCTCATGCCTGTCGATATTTATATCTGGAAATGCATGTAATACCTATCATGCTTGTATTCATTCATGCTAAGCTCGTGTTGTCAATTTCTTACTTTGAAGTCTGTGCCCATTGTCTCTAGGTTTGTGGACTGAAGTGGTCTTATGATAATCGTGAACTAGCATCTGGCGGGAATGACAACAAAGTATGTAATGACGGTTTTTTTGCCTGTCTAATATGTTCTGATACTTCATATAACCCTTTAACTGATTGAATGGCAAATTTGATTCGTATGCAGCTTTTTGTTTGGAATCAACATTCCACTCAACCGGTCCTAAAATATTGTGAGCACACCGCTGCTGTAAAAGCAATTGCATGGTCTCCTCATCTGCATGGGCTTCTTGCATCTGGAGGTGGTACAGCTGATCGATGTATTCGATTCTGGAGTACAACCACTAACACACACTTGAGTTGCATGGACACTGGCAGTCAGGTGATTTTTCTCTTTTGTTTTTTATCCTATCCTGCCCGTTTAAGACGGCCTTAAATGTGCATCAGATGAACTGATTGTGTATCAATTTTCTTCCTTGATCGCCTTAATTGAGCTGATCTTTCTCCAACTAGTTTGAAATGTTGAAACACTGTCGCAGTAGTCTTGCCAAATAACAAAAAGATCAGGAATGACCAAAAAAATTTCAATCTACATATTTGATTTCAAGTTCTTGAATTGTATCCGTGGCAAAGTATTATCATAGAAATTAACAGAATATGGTGCCTTGGTGGTGTTCTTGGTACTAGAACTGCAAACTCTCAACCATTCTAATGTCCACTTTATGCATGGCAGGTATGCAATCTTGTGTGGTCTAAGAACGTCAATGAACTCGTCAGCACTCACGGGTACTCTCAAAACCAAATAATAGTCTGGAGATACCCCACTATGACAAAGGTATACGTAGTTTAATAAAACAGCCTATTATGTATGTAGGTGTTAATAATCTCTCATCATCCGCTTTTTCCCCTTGGAAATTTTCTTCTTTTACTGCAGTTGGCTACTCTTACGGGTCACACATACAGAGTTCTTTATCTTGCAATCTCACCTGATGGCCAGGTACCTCACTTCTAAACAGATGAAATATACTAAAGGTATAGATTTTTAACTTCTCTTGACTTGCCGCGGTTGAAACAACTCTTTTCTTGTAGACAATAGTTACAGGAGCAGGAGACGAGACACTAAGATTTTGGAATGTCTTCCCTTCCCCTAAATCTCAGGTAGCAATACTTGGGTTCCCGGCTATCACAATATCTATATATTCCTATAAATCTCAGGTAGCAATACTTGGGTTCCCGGCTATCACAATATCTATATATTCCTATAAATTACTTTTATCATCGGAATCCTTTCTGTGGATGCTCCCTGCGCTGTATGACGTGTACTCCCTATTTCTTTGTTGGGAGTGTATAATCTACATTTCTTTGGTCAAAAGGCTAGTTTCTTTTTAGGACTGACGAATGCTAACTTTTCACCGATTGCTGCTGTCCCTTTAATGGTTAACGACTGCCTGTAACCGCGAACAATGAACTTTAATGCAGAACACTGATAGTGAAATCGGAGCTTCATTTTTCGGGAGAACCACGATCCGCTGACTTCATGAAGAATATATGTACTGTAAGGATTCTTGTGCTATGGATTATCGGACTTCGTCAAGAGGAAAATGCTGTGAGCATTCTCATGCTCTGAAGTATCAAATTTGTTCAGCAATCCAATCCAGAAAGAACAAAAGAATCTGCAGCAGGTGCAAGAACTTACTGCTTGTTTCTTGCGAATCACTTTTTTTTCTTTCTGTAATCCCAGTTTTCTTTGTTCTTTAAAATGGAGTTGATTGATGTAAATACCGAGAGTTGCTGCTAATTTTCCGTAGCAGCTCCCTTCCCTTCCACTGTAAATCGAAGTAAGCCGGAGTTAAGTTATTCGAACTCGGATGTAAGTGTTGGACACGAACATATATACATATATATTCACTTGTGTTTTCCAGCTCTGTTGCTTACTTGTGAAAAACAAATATGGACCCAGAAAAGCTGGTTGTGTTTTCCAGCCCTGATGTTTCCACATTTTCAAAGTCCAGCAAATCTGGACCCAGAGAGCTGGTCAAGATCCATGGCAGTATTTGATAAGTAATATTTACTTTGAATTTTGTTATTAGTTTTTTTATTATTGCCTATATTTTTAAAATTGTCCGACTTTAGCACCTAGCTTTTGATTATTATTTTTTCTCATTCAACCATTAGTTGTATGATAACAATAACAAGAGGCCGTATTTTGGTTAATTTTATGGGTAAATTATGTGTTTGGTACTTAAACTATCAATTTTGATCCATTTAGTACCTAATTTTTTTTTAAATCATACCTAAAATTTAGTTTTTTGTTCATTTTAGTACACTGTTCAAAATTTAACGTTAAATTTTGAAAAGATTGAAAGTTTAGGTACTAAAACGGACCAAAAATGATAGTTTAGGTACTAAAGACTTTAAAATTTTGAAGGCGGATACTAAAATGAAATGAAAATTAAATGTTAGGTATGATTTTGAAGAAATTGAAAGTTTAAATACTAAAATAGATCAAAACCGATAGTTTAAGTATTGAATACGTAGTTTGTCATAGTTTTATTTGTGAAGTTAACCAAATATTTTATCCCTTCTCTATGACCTACATCTTCCTTCCCAGTGTTGGTCGTCTGCAATGTAATTGATATCAAAGCATTCCTCTTACTATCTTCTTTTCAATTTAGTTTTCCTTAAAGTCAACAAAATTCAAATAAAGATTCAACATTAGGTCCAAATGTGCAATCTTCACCGTATGATCATCATAAAATTGAGATATTAATTTTTCCTCCTCCTCCTCAACCTTTTTTTAAAATTTTTTGATACTTAACAAGAAATTTTTAAAATTTTAAGAGGGACTTAATTAAAAACATCCAATAGTTTTAAAACATAATAATAATTTTAAAATTCTTAAAGCTTTTAGAAGACTAAATATTAATTTTTCAAAATTTTGAAAATCAGGGCATTACGATCTATTCCGAAGTCATGCTTGCATTTTTAGTCGTAATTAACCACGTATTGACTGATATAAATTTTTTTTATTAGTTCAATGATAAAAATATAATTTTTGAAAATCGAGTGATCAACCAAAATATTAATAATATCATGATGATCGTAGGATGTAATTTGTTCAAGGATAGTGTACCACAAAAATATATGCGGATACGATACGTAAAATGGTGAATCTACTTTTTGCAGAAAACAATCAGTTATTGCGGGACAAGAATTTGAGCTGCTCCACCGTTGACAGACATCAGCAACCATGGAATTTGGTGTAATCGATTCTTTTCTCTGCAAATTGGGTGTACATAATCCATAAATTTAATCATGTTCATTATTATATATATATATATATATATATATGATAGAATAGAATAGAATAAAGTAGATGATTATTTTGGGGTTTGTTGCCGGCAAAACGAAACCCACCTTAATAGCCCTTTCACTATCATTTTCTCCACTACCTTTCTTGTGATTTTCTCTCTAGAAGAACGAAGCGTGTAAAGGATATATATTTATTATACCACAAACTTGTTGCTTTCGTCTTCGTTTTGTAAAGTTTTATCTTTGCTTTATCCAATTATTTCAAAGCAGCAGAAGGAAATGTCCGGCGTGCCCGCCAACGGTGACGTTTCATCGTCGCTTTCATCTGTAATCGCATCCAAGGGAGAAGAAGCAGTGAAAGAAACACAGAATCAAGAAAAACAAAAGCAAGAAGGAATCAAGGATTGCATGTACAAGACTAAGGCAATTCAGTTCTTAGGTCGTACTACGCCTATTATTCTCCAAAACGACAATGGACCTTGCCCTCTCCTCGCCATCTGTAACTTCTCTCTCTCTCTCTCTCTCTAATGATTTCTAGGGTTTTGAATTGCTCTGTTGTTCGTCTTTTGTCGCCACATCGTTTGTTTTGGATATTCGGATTGGATATTCTTTAGTTCATTTATTTTGTTTATTTATTTAATATTTCTAATTTTAGTAAACTGAAAGAAGCTGAAGAATTTTGATTTAGTTTTCTATTGATTGATCTCGGAAGTGATCAAGAATCCATTTTTTAGAACATTTCTATTGTTTGATTTTGTTTAGGGCGTATCGTTTTAGACCTTAGAGCGTGAATGAAAGAAGAAAATGGATATTATTTAGAAATGGAATTATCTTTCTGTCAAATGAATTAGACACATGATCAAATTTCTAGTTGGTCGTTATTGTGATATTTCTTTTCTTGTGGAAATTATAATTGGAGCTAACTAAATTATTTAAAATGGACCTGGGGGATTGTGACAGGTAATGTTCTCCTTTTAAGGAACAATCTGAACCTGAGTCCGGATGTAGCAGAAGTTTCACAGGAGAAATTGCTTTCACTGGTGGCCGAGCGACTCATCGATTCCAACAGTAACGTCAATGTAATTTCTCTCCTTTTTTATGCTTGCTTCCTATGTTTTCTTGGACTCAGGTGTTAAGTGTTGGATACTGCCGGTATGTATCTGGCTAGAGTATCTTCTATATTTTTTAAGTTTTTCCATGTATTTTGGGGGCTCTTGGAAGGTCCTATCCCCGTACCGATGTCTGAATATGCCAGACATGAGTACTTCGCCTAAAATGAAATTTCAGGCAACATAACTTAACTCATTTGCTTGTTGCTGGTAATGGAATAGTATGATGATCACGATGCTGATGAATCATTTTGGCACACAGAATACAGATGCAGGGTTTGTTGAAAATCAACAGCAGAATATTGCAGATGCAATTGATTTACTTCCACACCTTGCTACAGGGATTGATGTAAATATTAAATTCAGGAGGTTAACTTCGTCCTTTCTTTCTCTGTTTATTTTACTTGGACAAATCGCTTCCTTCTTCAGTCCTTAGTGAATTATTGTGTATAACTTGCAGAATAGATGATTTTGAGTTCACTCCAGAGTGTGCCATATTTGATCTGCTTGATATTCCCCTCTATCATGGTTGGATAGTTGATCTCCAGGTAAGCTCTTTTTAACAGTGGGGGTTGTTAGACCTGCAGTTCATAATACACTCGTAGAAGCAAGGTTGACAATCTTATTTAGTACACTCTGTTGTTTATCATTTATTATGCATTGATGGTTTCTAGTAGTTACCATCAGTTGTGTGTTTAGTTTAGGTTGTTTATTATTCCCTAGCAGTTACTGATGGTTATTTTTGGTGGGTTATTTGTACTAAAAGGAAGGGGAAACGAGGTTCCTGGTTAGTTTTGGGAGGAAAAGGTCCCTCGAAGTACATTGTAGGCTGGTATTTTCACATGTCATATGTAATCTGCCACTGGCAGTAATTCTCCAGTTTTCTAAGAGGGGTACAATAATTGAAGCAATTTGATGAAGAATGTATAGGTTCTCATATGAGCTTGACTATGGTTCTGCTATATGATGTTCAACTTCCATTTTTTAAATGATTAATGGCTGCAATGGTAAACTATAGACCTAACCATTCATGAAAAACACAAATGGCCTTTGATAAGGAACCCATACAAAGGTGCAATGGAGTATATAACCATAGAGATTTCAACTTTTGCTTGTAGTTTGTTTGGCTAGACCTTCGTTTTTTGATGTAGTCTGCTTTATGAAATTTTAAAGTTTGGGATAGAACTAATTTTAGTATAGAGGCCTAACACATATATATATTATGGGTTCAACAGAAAGTTTGTTTGGCAGGGTGAGGATTTTGGTGTTTTGAGTAATATCACATTTTGTCATGAGTTTAGTTGGAATATGATTGGTTGGGGACCATTAAATTTCTTGGTAGAATAATTAAGGTGAAAAATCAGTAGTCATATTGGGAATGAATTTTAATTTCATGCTTCGAAATGAACTCATATGGTTGTTTTGTATGTTTATTGTTGGTCAAGGTAGGTAATTTCTGATTATGCCTTCTAAGTTATTATTATTTTTTTGATAGGAATAGAATGCCTCTTTAAAACCTCCCTCTTAGTAGTCCTTTTCCCTAAGGCAGGAACCATCAAGCGGAAGGAGGAAAAGAGTACATCAATTTATTAAAGTTTAAGCTGTTACATAAAACTTAAGAACACTCCACCAAGATACAAAAGACATAAAACACTCCTGAAACACCTTTTCTCTAAAGCATACAAACCAACTAAAGCCACGTCAACAATCACCCAATTCCCTCTTTCGCTAGCCTGTCAGCCTCACAATTACAACTCCTAGGAATCCACCTGACAATAGCCTGCTTTAGAGAAACAGAAGTCACAATTTCCTTAACTAAATTAGACAGAAACACAGGGACAGAAACTTGGCTATTGATCCAATCCACTGCTAGCTTTGAGTCGCTTTCGATAATTAGCCTACCCTTCGAAACCCATTCTGAAGAAACAAAAATGTCAATGCCTTTTTTGATAGCTTTCAATTCTGCTAGAATGGGGGTGGTAGGACCGACATTTTCTGAAAATGAAAGAAGAATAACCCGATTTCAATACCTGAGAATTCCTTCTAAGTTATTATTGAACATTATGATTGTCTATTATGAGATTTTATGGCTTACTTTTCAGTATTATTAAATTTGGTCAGTAGTATACATAATGTTTCTGATTAGTATTTATAATACGATTTCTGTTATTGTTCAGAGATATCCAATTGCCTTCCCGTATAGTTATAGGTTTCACATATCATGTAATACATATAATTGGGCCAGGATTTAACTACTTTTTTCACGGTGCACGTGGCAGGACTATGAAACTGCTAGTGCTATTGGCTCAAAATCCTACAATGCTATTATGGAGGAGCTTGTTGCTCTGGAAACACGAAATTTGGAGGTATCACACGAAAATGGTTCTGAAGATTGTGTGGATTTTGCTGCTGCTACTACTGCCGCTCTAGGAGTTCCCTCTCCTAACCTGTCAAAAACCAGATCTTTTGATGAGTCTCCCCGCTCTGCCTCAGGTCAGCAAACATTTAGGAAAGGGGACATTGAAGAGGAAGCAGAGCTATTAAGATTCTTGAAATTATCAGAGGCTGAATCACCAGCCTCTGTTGGTGGTTCTGGCAGTTTAGATGAAAAATCATCTTCAGATAACCTCGGTTCTGCTGATTCACAAGAGGGGGACAGTGGTGTTGGAAACAAGAGCATGCACCAGCATGAACCATCCTTTTCGGATAATTGTACTTCCTTAGGCAATGGTAGTTCTAGTAAAGCATGTTTTGAGACCCTCAGAGGGGAGACGACCCCAAAGACCGATGGGAGTAATCAGAATTCATCTTACGTTAAATCCGGAGAAGTTAGACTTTCTGATGATGCAGTTGAGAAGAACAATAATGTTGAGAAAATGGTTAAGGGGAGTAGTGTTGATGATTTGCTCCAGATTGAAGGTGTAATTCCCATTTCTCTTGCAAAGGATGCTGCAATTATAGATGGAAACAATGCGGAAATTTCACAAGGGGGTGAAAAGATTGAGATTCAATCTAGTTCTGCATCCGGTGCTCATGACATTCTGGATAATGTCAATGGTTGTAACTCGATGGAAGTATCATCTATCTCCTTACAAAAAGCTGGTTCAGACTCGTCTAGTGACAGAATGCATGATGTTGTTTTGCCAGAAGCTTTTAGTTCTAGTCTTGATGGAAGTGAGCCTATATATGAAGGAGAAGAATGCATATTAGATTCAGTAACAACATATGAGAACCGGGAACCTATTTATGAAGGTGAAGTTGTTCTTGCAAAACAATCTGACAACTATGCTGTAGAGGGGTGCCATGCGAGGTCCAAAGAAGAAATTACTCCACGACAAGGTTAGTGGTCCACCTTATAGAAAATGCAACTTTATATCCTTGTAAAGTGTGTATCATCTTTCTCCCATCAATTTGAGCTACGTTTTCGATGCTTTTTTTAGTTACTTGTTGCCTCCTTTAAAATTATCATAAATGAGAAAAAATAATATGTTTTCTTATCCTAAGTTCAATTTTTAAATTCTTAAACGAAGTCTTCTTTTTTAATCCAAATGCACTTCTTTTTTCTCACTATTTTCATGCGCTCACTCAAGATAACCTACTATTCGTTTTCTGAATGCTATTTAGGTGAACTGATTGCAAACTTCCTGAAGAATAATGCCAATCAATTGACCTTTTATGGGTATGTTGACCAGCTTTATAGCTGTTTAAAGATCTAATTTATTGTTGAGTCTATTACATGATCATCATCTGGCGATCATTAATATGTTTTGCAGGCTTTTTTGCTTACAAGATGGTCTTAAAGAACGTGAGCTTTGTGTTTTCTTTCGTAACAATCATTTCAGCACCATGTTTAAGGTAAGTTGGAACCACTTGTTCTATTAATTGTTCACCTACAGCTGTGTGTGAACTGTCAGCTATGCTTGGAACACTCGAACTAAATTAATAAACCAATTTAAGAACCAGTTTTCTTGGTTTTCTCAACTCTAATTATTTCTTTATTGATTGAATCTCATTATATTTGCAGTACGATGGTGAACTCTATCTTTTAGCTACTGATCAAGGCTATCTGAACCAACCGGATTTGGTTTGGGAGAAACTGAATGAGGTAAGATTTTGTTCTTCTTAACCAAGAATTGCTTCATTGAAATGTGTGCGTCATTTATAATCGAGATAATTACATATTTTTTGCTTCAGCATTTAAAAAAAAACGGAAAGCGTCTAAATTAAAGAACCTTTAAATTGATGATGGATCTTGAAACTGAGAGAAACATGATCTTAAATTTCAAATATCGACCTTTTAATCCTAATCATTATGATGTTTGTGACATTGACTCTTTTTGAAGTTTGGTATCCAAAATTTAAATCATGCTTTCAGGTCAATGGGGACACACTTTTTATGACTGGCAACTTCAATGAATTCAAGGTGGATAGTCATGCCACCGGAACTGATGTACGTATTTCACTTCGATGAGAACATTTTGACGGCTTGAATGAATTTAATGGAACTTTACTAGGATTTACATGACGCAGGACTACAATGATGGCTCATCCCATGCAGGACCAGATGAAATGTAATTATCCCTCTTTTCGACTATCTGTATTTGTATTAAATTTGTGCTGCTACAATCTCTCCTGATGTCAGTAGTTCCTAATTAATCTCGATAACTGCTTAATTCTTGAACCGATTATTCTGTGGATTTAAGATATCCATTTAAAATTATTGCTATATTTTATAATTATCTATTTGCAACAGTGGTCAAGTTAAAATAATCTTTTCATTATTTCTTGAACGTGTTAAATTTTCTAAAACCTTTTTCCATGGTTCTTTGTTCTCGAGGATGACAGTTTTTGTTCATTCTATGTTATCATTTCAGCTCGGATTTACAGCTTGCACTAGCTTTACAGCAAGAAGAGTATGATCAACAGTCACAGCGTCAGAATGTGCAGCAACCACCCGCTGTTGGTGCATCCAGATTAGTGACAGGTCCAAAGGTATTGTATATTCCCTCTCCCTTCTAAATATATCGGCTGCCTGCTCGAACAGTGGAGAGTAGTCGGTGATTTTACAACCAATAGCCGATAGGACCAACAACAAACTCGTCATGTTAACTGTTGTGGATTAAAACCCATAGATTTAAGTCTTTATCCAGGCTCAGCAGTGAGTTTCGGATATAAAGGTGACCAGCATGAATATGTTAATATCCTTTTCCTACATACCTGTGTTCGAACAGGCATATGTTAAGGAAATGAAATAATTCGAATAACATGAAACGGAACTGGCATTTTGTAGGTGTCGCAAAACAGTGGAAGGGGCTCTTCATCTTCGTCGTCGAGGCAAGAGACAAAATCGAAAGAGAAGTGTATTGTGATGTGAGTTTCAGGTTTATCACATTTGGCAAGTCTCTGTTCTGTAAATAGTGGTTGTAGTTCTGTATTTTGACACCAAACAAAACCCTGATTTTAGAACCTTGAATGTTATTTTGGATAATAGTTAAAAGTGTATATATTGCGTACGATCGAAGCATTTGATGTTCTGTGGAACCTCATAATCATTTTTTAACCCTTCTTATATAATATTTAGGCATAATACCAAAACAAGTGCCAAAACTATATCGTTTCTCTTAAATAGGTACCTAAAATAATTTTCGTCTCATCTAGGTGCTTAATATTACAAACTTCATCCATTTAAGTGTCTGGGCAGTCAACGACGTTAATTTCTGTCGTTAGATGATACGTGTCATAATCTTGTGATTTTGAAATTTATTTTTTTAAATAAAATATTTAAAATATTATAATATTTATAAAAAAAACACTAACTTTCCTAATATTATAAAATAACCTCAAAATTCCAAACCCAAATCTTAATTCATTGCCGTCGTCCTTTTCAGTTATGACCACCGCCATCGACGTAGTCCTTTCCATCCTCCTACTCATACACCGTTGTAGTTTTCGTCGATTGGTCGTCAGAATATCATGGGATCACGATTTTAATCCTAGGATTTGGGCGGTTTAAAACGTTGATTCATCATCAATAGGTCATTGATCGGTCTCAATTTCATGGCGCTTTTGGTCGACGGGGGAGGGGAGGTTGGGTGGAGCTTCGTCGACGGTAAAAGACGGCGACCGGTGTGAGTTAGGGGTTGAAATGAAAATTTTCAAAGTTTTAAATTTATTTCAAAATGTGTTTTTTCCCTAAAAATATATATTTTTAATTCTAAATAAAAATTTTAAAATTACCAAGTTATGACATATGTCATTTAATATCGTTACCGGCCCAAGCACTTAAATGGGTAATATTTATAACGTTAAACACCTGGATGAGACGAAAATTAGTTTAACCACCTATTTGGAAAAATGTGTATAGATTGGGCACCTATTTTAGTATTAAGCCTAATATTTATATTGGGATATCGCCCAGCGTCAAGATTCTGAAGTTTTACTCTAAACTGCGCTTAAACTCAGCAGGACAATAATTTTCAAGAGGTTTTGAACATCGCATAGAATGGAGGACCAAAAAAAAGTGGGGAAAGATAAACAAGTTTTTGGTGAAAATAATTGATGACTATCATCCTCATGTATGAAGCAACGTTATTCTGTTATCCTGGGACTTGCATTCTCAACATCAACTTCTCCCATGCCCGTGTCTTCCTCTTCTTCGCGGTCTTCGTCGCCCCTCACCTCTTCATTATCGTTATGCAACTTAGCCATGTGCTCGGCAAGCAATTTATCGTCCTGTTCACTCACCTGAATCTCAATGCACAGTGTGTGACCCTTGGTAGAAAGATGTTCAAATTAAGCAACAACATTGAAATAGAAGGATCGAAACTCACTGCTCTAGGCGCTCGTTGACAACAAGTTTACCCTTGTGATGCTCTATTGCTTCAGTGCAAGCTGCAATGTCTTTATTGAGCGCAGTTATCCCTTGGTCCTGACCGATAGACCGAAAACAAAAACGTTAAACACACACAAAAACATACAATGGACGAAAAAGGGCATCAAGCTAACCATGTCAAGAGTTTTGAGTGGTAAGAACATAAAGTGGAGGAGCCACAAGTTTGATTTTAACAGGACAATCATCGTTCCCAACAGCCTCGGCTTTGCGCATGGCCTCCTGCGAATCCGACAACAGACATCCAAGAACTAACAACAAAGCACGGACAAAGAGAGAGAGAGAGTTTCCAGTAAATAAGACCTTGTGAAGAACACCATCAAACTGGAAACATTTCATCTCAATATCAGCCCTAATCTTCAGAGGTTGTGGGGTCATTCTTCTCCCTATGTTCTTCACCAATGCATCTTTCACTTCCTGAGTCACAGCAGGAACCAGTTCTGTCACCTAAACAGAGAAAAAAAAAGTTAAAAGAGATTCAAGCCGACTGAAAAAATAGTGCTCCATGCATCTAAAAGATTGAAATTTTACCTCCTGTCCATCAGGGCCAGGTTTTTTACTTCACAAGTGAGGGTGTTCAAGACGGTATCGGGATTGGTCACAACAATTTTGAAAGCCTGGAAAACATTCAGAAAAGATGGTAAAAACAAAGACTGTGATAAGAACTAAAACGACACTTCGAAAGAAGGCGGCTTCGAACCTCGAAAGCATGATCATATTTCCGGTAAAGTGGCCAGCCAATTTTAACATACAATTCCTGTCGCGGGTAATAAGTGTTAGCGAGTTGCAAGTTGATTATAGAAATCCATCTTAACAATGGCTAATTCAGGCAAAATTATATAAATAAGATGTACCAAAATTTGTTTTATCATCTACGCTGATTGTTACAAGAACCCGAACATCTCATCAGAACTCCACGTCCACGGCAATTTCAAGAAAACGTGTCGAATGCATGACAAATTGGCAATTTCATGATCTCGTCATGCATGCAAGGCGAATTCCCAGCTTGTATGCATGTTACCGGCGGAGATGCAGTCCGGAGGCAGAGGAAGGTGTCATGCAAGCATGGCGATATCATGAAATTGCCATGCAATCCAAATGCTTTCTTAGTAGAATTTTGACGAGATATTCGAATTACTACAACAATCCCCTAGATCGTGAAATTATTTCTAATACATCTTATTCAGATAAATCTTTTCTACCACAATATTCAAGCAATTTTGCCAGCTGATTCCCCTCAAACAACCATAACAGAAAAAAAAACCCAAAATTTAGTTCGATTCATTACCAATAACTCATAGCTAAACTCTAGAAATACTTGATATCCAAGTTCCATAAACATAGCAGAAAGAAGAAGAAATCAGAAATTACCTCCAAATCGATATCCAAAGTCTCGGCGACATGACGCATGATAGAATGAACAAGTTTGCTCTTATTATACCTTTCTTCACAAGCCTGAATATCTTCCTCGCTAACCCTCCTCTTACTCAAGTCAATGTAACCCTTTTCCTTATCGACACGGAGGACCGTCACCGGCTCTGTTCGGCCGACCTTGATTAGACTACTGACACTACGATTCCGACGACGGGAGAGCTCCGAGAACAAGATCATGCCTTCGATGTTGTTGTATTCCAGGAGCGAAACGTAGGCGCCCATGTCGGCGATGTTCTTCACTTGTATCATCACCGCCATATCCACTTCCGGATATTTCGCTTCGTACATACGACATTCGATGTTCGGCATCTTCGCTCAAGCAGTGGAGTACTTTTGGCTCATATCTTTGGATGTTTGGGGATTTTGTGCTTGAAGATTTGGGTTTTCAAATGAGCTTCAGGACCAGTAAAGATATTAAGATGAATTTTCCACCAACGCCATAAAATAGATACATAAAGATGCGACATTTAGCAAAATTTAAAGATTATTTGACTTCTAATCAATTATTCTACAAAAGATAATTTAATTAATCAATTGTTCGAAAATTTTAATTTTTTGTTTATAAATTGCATCCATTTGTTAATATGCTCGATTTTTACTAAAAAACAACTTATTTTTTAATGAAGATTTTGTTTTATTGTGACTGGTAAAAGATAATTAAGAACTTCCTCCTGGGATTATGTGAAGGAAGGACTTGTTCATCGAAAGAAATCAAGATTACAGCTTTAGTGATGGATCGCTTATATCTTTTAATGACAGAATCTGAGGGTTTTTCATGTACAAGCTGTTGTCAATCAAGTGCAGCTCAGTTGTTTTCATCTCAGATTCCATCGACGCCGAGCTTTACTTTCTTCAGTCCGATATCCGCCTCTGCGTCGAACCACTAAATAAGACATCGAAGATGAATGGCAAATACAAAGGCGATTAACCATACTGCTGGGGGAGCAAACAGAAGGAAGAAAATATGAAACCAGGAACTCCCAGAGAGAAGGACTCGGTGTCGAGAATCGGGGTAAGGGGCTCGACAACGGGAAACGGAGTAAAAGAAAAGGAGTTACAGATACAGGAGTTCGAATTCCAGACCTTTAGAGAAATATGTTTGCTTGAGTCTGTCAATTCGGAAGATAGAAACTGGCATATGTATAGGAGTCGCAACATGCAATATACAACTTATTCATCTCTAACAAGATGCAGTATAACATGAGTATCAGCAATCAATAACTTTATTCATTATTTTTCGATTCAAAAGTAGTCGATTTAACATCAGTTACATATATTCCTACACGCTACGGCAATGCCGCCTATGATGCAGTGGGTTCTGTAAGGAAATAAACAAAAATAAAATAGAAAAGATGAACAATTTCACCTTATTTATCAGACCAAGGGCTTTTTCTCCTCATCTTCTTCAAGTTCTACACTTTCTGCTTCGGTGGAAGGGGTTTCCGGATGATGCTTGGCATTTATGTTTGATGTCGGGATCCGGGGTGCCGCTTTATTATCCGGAAACATCTTTAATACGATCCCCATGGCAATGAGCAACAGCCCGGATCCATGCTGTTCGGTTAAAGGTTTTGTAAATATCATGTATGACAGCAATAATGTGACAGCTTTTCTTGCAGTTGTTATCTGCAAGCAGATGAAACATGAAAGGCTGCAATTAGATGAGATAGTGAAATAGTTTGAAAATTGATCTTTTAGAAACCGATATATCTGAAATGAAATTACAAATGTGTTTCTATTTACCATGGCAGTCGTAGCAGCACCGAAGATGGCAATAAGGGATAAAACCGACACTTGACCAATGAATGTGGCCATAGCTTCAAACACCAACACCCCATACACATAAGGATGCTGCAATTCATAAATCATACATTATAGAAACAAGAGATATGTTACTTCTTTTGTTCTCGGAAGATCGTTAATCAAGAATAGTCTACTAAACTATGCTACTCGGGACTCTGATTGTGAGTATGGGATATGAATACATGTTCCACATGTAAATACTCAATCTAATTTTGTCCCTATACTCATAAGATTCTTCGACGGTCATAATGTCATAGTCATAGAATGATATATGTCAAACACGGGTATTTTCTTCTGTAAGTCGCATAATAAAATGTTATCTTATGCACTAACGGCCATAGCTGCTGGGAGGGAGTATGCAATTTACCTGAGAACAAGAATTCCAGGCCCTAACGAGCTCGCCTGTTAGAATCATTGGAACAACTAAGAAAGGGATCCCAACAATTGTCGAGCAAAACAACATCTCCATCTGTAAAAAAAATGAACCAATATGCAATTCAACATAAAATCATCAGTAACTTATTAGCGACTTTTTTCGGTTCAAACAGAAAATTCAGTTTTATGGCTTACTTGAGTTGTATCTGGATTCATGGTGAAAATCGCTTCCTGAAAATTCCCAAGAAAGGAATCCATAATCAAAGCACCCAGAATCATTAAAACACCAATGATGCTAAAATTCGGAGACGTTTGAGCATCGGCTAAGGTGAAGAGGATGAGACCAACAACAAGAAGCACCGCAGAGACGTATTCATGAAACGGATATTTCCTTCTCAGCCCAGGGATGAATGCACCCATAATCATAACCGGCAGCACCTAAAATTCAGAGGAACATAACCCAACATGTTAGAACTAAAAAGAACAAACAAAAAGCCATATGTTAGTTCGATATTTTCTGAAGATTTTTCATATAAAAAGCGAATTCTTATACAAATTCATAGCTACCTTGGTAGATTTAAACATTATTTGAGCAGGGTAGTTGAGGTAAGCCAAAGAACCCTTGGTTAATCCATGAGAACCCATGAGAACAGCAGAGAGTTTCACATATGTTTTCCATGGATTCACCATTTGCTTCATGGAAAAGCCTTGAAGCCTTATCAATATCAGGTAAACAAATCCTTGTACAAAAGTGAAGTACCATCCATAGCTGAAACATTTGCATGAATTTATGTCAACAAAAATCAATATATACATATATATATATATAGGATAGAATCCACTTATACAGTGTAAAGCTCATAGTTTTACACAAAAATATAACTACTGGATGAATCTAAATAGATAGCTGAGATTCATCCTATGGCGTGTTAATGGATCCTATCTTATATATATATATATATAATATAACAATGGAAATTGATGATGAATGTACCTGAACTGAAGCCTATTATATACATATTCCTACACAACCAAAAGAACACATCAATCATAGCACTGGAATGGGATTTTTTTCAGATTGAAATGGAGATTTTAATCCAATAAAACAGTAAAATGTATTCATTTAATCGTTTTGTACGATATTAATCAAACAGAGGAACTACTTGAAACCTGCTTCAACAACATTGACAACCAAACAATACAAAAAAAATGAAACACTATTTGAATTTCTCAACTCTCTAGTCTCTACCTTTTTCCATTATTTTCTCAGCAACCAAACAAAAACCCAGAAAAAGGATAGAAAAACCAGGCATGCATGGCTGGGAATCGGTCACATGCAGAGTCGAGAAACCATTGCAAATAAAGTGACTGATTCAAAACAACCATAGAAACGAAAGCTTTCTTGCACCAGTGGTTTAACAATAAGTGAATTACAGGAAGAACAAACCTCACAAACGCCATTAACAAGGTAGCCAAAGAAGAACCCAGATGAACAGATAAGAAACTGTTGCCATTTCGGCCTATCAGTGAGATGAATCCCAAACAAAGACCTCGATTGATCCTCTCCTTTCATCTTCTCCAAAACAAACAAAAGCCTCAAATTCCCCAAAAAAAAAACTGAATCACCCTATTCCTTCAATGAAAAACCTGAATAAATCCCATAAAACAGACGGTAAAAGGGTATTCAAATAACTGCTTCATTTCTTATTTTATTGCCCTGAAAAGCTAAAAAGGCTAGAATTTTATCAATTGTAGAAGTAAAGTATCAAAAATAAAGAATTCTTTTTTCCCCCAAAAGACTTCTCTTTGAGATCTCTCTCTCTCCACCTTCCTTAAAAGGTCGGATTAAGGGGAGATCGGAAGATTTGTGGAGTGTTTGAGTCTCTGTTGTGAGAAAATGGTGGCAAACTGGGACTTAAAAAAATGAGAAAAACAAGAGGAAGATGAAGGGAGGGAGTCATTTAAAGTCAATATTGGAGATCAAATTAAAAGGTCCCCGTCCATACGGCAACAAATATGGTCTTGGTGGGGATTTATCTGAAAATTCTCGGAAAATTGTTTTCTCGAGAAAATGGAATCAAGGATACTGAACTATATCACGTCATTTTATAGTACGAGAATCTCGACCTTTTGGGTTGGTCACGCTTCTCTCGGTCCGAACTATACATATTATAATTAGACTATTTTTAACATTTAGGTGAGGTGAATATAAAATGTTTTCTATTTTTTAAAAATTTATTTTTTAATATAATAAATATTTAAATAATTATTTTAAAAACCAACGGGTTGGTTTAAATTATAAGCAGTTTAATATCGCTTAAGCAAGTCTTGAGTTAAGTCCTAATGTATGTAGAAAACCGAGTGTACGGCTCGAGTCTTTCCAGATTAGTCAAAGCTAGGGATGGCAACGGGACGGGGACGGGGACGGGGACGGAGCCGGGTGTTGGTCTCTCCGTCCCTGTCCCCGTTTAAAAAACTCGTACATGTCCCCGTTTAAAAAACCGCAGAGATTTAAACGAAGATTCTCATCGAGTAATCGGATAAAACCGCGGGAAAACGAGTATCTCCGTTTAGCATAAACGGTTATTTAAACGGGTATCAGGCCGGGTATATATATTTAAATTAAATATATAAATATTATATATATACTTTAATTTAATTTAAATTAAATTAATTAATATATATATATATATATATATAATAATTATTTTTAATATTTATCAGGCCGGGTAATCTGGTAATCGGGACGGAGATTATCAAACCCGTCTCCGTTTAGCATAAACGGTTTTCCCCATCCCGTCCCCGTTTATCATCCCCGAACCCGACCCGTTTAATTCGATTTTCGATTTTTCCCGTCGAGTTCATATTTTTTTTGCCATCCCTAGTCAAAGCAAAATTTTAGGAACAAAAAAGAAAATAAATAATAATAATAATAATAATTTTAAATATTAATATTCTAATAATATAATTAATATACCCTTAAATGTTTCTTTCGAAAACTATCATCTCTCTGTCAATTGAGATGCGTAACGTATCTTTTAGTTTATCATTATCTTTATAGAACTCATATCTTCCATGTATAGGAGAATTGTAGCCTCCAAACTAATTATAGTATATAGATACGAGTAGATTTCTAAATAACTCAGAAAATCTATAAAATTTAAGATTAGGCTTATTTAACATATTGATCTCATATCTATTAATTTATTGACTTACGAGTAATCACAGTGATCTTATGATTAATTTTATCAGTTAAAATCACTATAAACACATATTACTTGAGAAAGAAATTTTAACTATTTTTTCTTCTCTTATTTCACTATCGTCTATCTTTATGTATCATCTCTTTTACATAGAAATAACAATGATCAATGGTTATTATTTTCTTAACTGTATTTATTTGTCAAAAGAGATAAATCGTTAACAACCAATCAGATAAAATTATTTTCATCAACAAAATAATATTATAAATACTTTATTATATTTATTATTTAAACAGATGATCTAGTGGGATGAAGCAGCATATCCTTTAAACAAGACTGGGGGTTTGAATTTTGACGTTTATGAATAGAATAAACTAGGTTGGGAAAATCGCACTCGCCTCTATAGTATCCGATCTGGATTGATTGATTGATTAATAAATAAAATATTAATACTTATTTAAAAAAATATAAAAATTATGACATGTAATTAAGGGTAAACTACGTATTTAGTACATAAATTAGTTTTTGTCCTTTTAGTACTTAAATTTTTAATGTTTTCAAAATTATAACTAACATTTAGTTTTTGTTTCATTTTAATACATGTTGTTAAAAACTTAACGAGTTTAATACCTAAACTATCAGTTTTGGTCCGCTTTAGTACTTAAACTTTCAATTTTTTCAAAACTTAAAGTTAAAATTTAAACAGGATACTAAAATAAAACAAAAATTAACTTTAAATATGGTTTTGAAAAAAACTAAAAGTTTAGGTACTCAAACGGATTGAAACTGATAATTTAGGTACTACATATGTAATTTACCCTTTAAAATTTATATATTAATTTCATTATTATGTGGAATAAACATCTTATTAAACAAAAGAAAATAACTAACCTGTAATTGTAAATAATAATTATTTATTAATTAAATATAATATAATATAATTAAAGACAAAAAAAAACTCGTTAATCGTTATTCCTGATAGGAAAAGAGACACAATATAATGAGGTGGTGAATTTATCGCAACCTGAAAATAACGCGAGATATGAGAAACGGTGCTCAATTGATGACGTCAACCACCGGCTTCCACTTTGCACTTCCTTTTTTAAGCCACGTGCACATTTGATGAAACTCGCGCTGACATCTAACATGGTGGGGGATCCACCGAAACTTACATTTCACTTTTCCCGGAGAAAATCACGTGGTTACATTTCCAAAGTATATTTTATATAATAGGGTTAATATAAATTTTGGTACTTAATTTTGTCATTGATATGCAATTTGGTACTAATTCTTTTTGCAAATCCACAAATAATAGTATAATTGATCTTTATATAGTTTGGGATAGTAACTATAATAATTTTTTTTTATATTTTCGATTATGTCCTTATTTTGTTGAATAAAAAATAATTATTTATGCATGAATTAAGTGACATTCGTGCTAAAAGAATTATTATTATTTATTGAAGATCTGAATTCGAGTACTATAGAATTAAGGGGTGTGAATGTTTAATGTCAAAAGGTCGAGAAATTTTATATATTCATGTTGAATTGATTTTTTTCTTCATATTCAGATGAAATTTTGAATTGTACAAAAAATTTGAAATTTGGATCAGATCGATGTTGAATCGGAGCCATAATTTTTAATCGGATCCAAATCTTTCAATATTCAACCTAGGCCTAATCGTAATACTTCTAACCAAGCTAACCCAAATAGCAACCACAAGTAATATTTACAATTAAATATATACTATAATAAAAAGCCATTATTGTCTTTGGTATAATTCGTAATAAAAAAAAAACTATTTTTTCTTATTGTGCAGTTCAACTCTTTTCTTTTTCGTCTTTGTTAACGACAACAATTTTAATGTTGATTGTCGACCAATAGTATTTTTTCCTATATTGTATCTCTATTTTCTTTTTTTTAATTTCAATAAGTCTGTCTGTATGACACATTTTCATATGTCTTTATGGCATGATTTCATATGCATTTTGATATGTTTTCGGTTGTTTGGTCGCTTTTCATTTATTTTTTTCTAAGGGTTGTTTTAACATCACTACGACTGATTAAGATGACACTTATCTGATATCTTGTTGATCTTCCCTGCTTTGAACTCTCTGATAGGGAAGCGATAACGAATGATAAATGTTGAAGAATCGAACCTAGAAAGCTCTAGACTCAATCAAAGAACGAAAGGGAAAGATTAAGATGCTATGTGCGATGGTAAGGAGATTGTATGCAAGAATTAGGGTTGGTGGAAATTGAGACAAATAGATTAAGACAAAACAAGATAAGGAAAATAAAAGGATAAAGATAACTAAAGATAATTAAAGATAAGATATGATAACTTAGCCAAATTAGGGTTTATGACCAAATCGTGGAGATAGTGCCGTGGATGATATTGATAATAAAGATGAATATAATGGATAAATGTCATATCACTCTCCTAGCCGCAATGAAAAGGCAAACTCAATAAATGGCTCTAATCAGCCCTTCTAATTTCAATGAAGAGGCAAATCAGATTGTGAAGATCAATCTCACAAAAAACTTGAAAAGAACTCAATGAAAAGAAGCTTCAAAGGCACAAGTAATCAACAGTTGCAAAGATAAACGCTCAATGTATTATATTCAAGAAAATATGTGATTACAAAGTTGAATAAATCCTCCTTTATATAAGAGAGGAGTTCTAAAAGCCCTAAATAGCTAATGAATAAAAATAATAATAAACTAAACATGTTTTAATTCTAATTTCTAATAAATAATAATAAAATAAGAATAATGTTTGAACTCGATCTTAATTCCTAATAAAATAAAAAATCTAATCCTAATAGATAAGGCATCATCCTATATTAAATTATATTACAAATAATCAATAAAAATGTTGAAATTTCATAATATTCACAAAATCTCATATTAATCCTGTATATGCTTTTCTGTATACGTTATGTTATCTTCACTAAAATGATCTTATCTTGAGTTCCCGTTATCAGATTGATAATATTCAATAATCGTTGTAAATCTAAGAGATAGTCGGTCGTAACTCCATAAGGAAGTTGACCAAATAACATTAGGGTCCTATTCAAAAAGCATTTGCAAGTCTGCTGCTCTGCTGGTCTTCTTCTCCAAGGCTTTGTCGTGTGAGTCAATTGGAAGCGTTGGTACATCTTCCTATGATGTGAGACATGTGATGAATGTATCATTCTCATTCTCTTCAAAAGATTCAACCTCGAATCTGAAACATTAAAGGGAGAAACATTAGATCCTTTTAAGTATTCATTCACATTATACTTACCGAATAAATATGTTTTGAATCTTCGAGAATTTTTTCTTCTAATAGGTTCAAGTAGAAAGATCGGTTCAAAGAAGCATGTGTTGTTGTTATTATTGACTCTTGTGCATGTATCATCCCCCATCTCCTCAAAAGGATTCGACCTCGAATTTGAAACTCCAAAAGAAAAGGGATTAGACGTGTGGGAAGGAAAAATTATAAAATACTTACTTGGATCAATGTGATATGTCTTTATGTGCTTTAGTAGAGGTTTGTTCCTTGTTGGAATCAAATTCTTGTTGTCTTAAAATACTCTTTTGAACACAATTTTTGAAATCTGGAGTTTAGGCTGAAAATCAACATGGTTCAGGCCATTGTTGTCTTTGATTGTGAGAAAATCAACATAAGTTTTCTCCATGGTTTCACTCGTGTGTGGTGAGAAAGAGTGTTTAAAAACTATGTCAAGTGGTTCGTGAAAGTAATCCATGAAGTCTCCTAAGTGTGTTTCATGAGTCGAGAATTCTT